AACCAAATTTTAAAGAATTGTATATGAAATAGGAGCAGAAAAAACTGAAAGATATAATAGAATTAGAAATAGATCGGTATCTCAAATATTGAGAAAGCTACAGCGTAAAATACGCTTTTCTGAAAAATGAAAATCTCCTTAAAATCCATACCGGTCGACGGATTTTAATAAAATTAGAGAAGGACATACTTTCTATGATACTCTATTTGGTGTGCAAAACTTCAACCCGGTATCTAAAAAATTGTAGAAGTAGATACGTGTACAAAAATCCATACGCACACACACACACACACACACACACACATACATACTTCCAGACATTTTCTACTAATACGATTTCTCGACATTTTGGAACGTTCTAAACCTATTTCCTTTAAAATCTCGAAAAAAAAATTTTTTACCATCACAAAGCTTCCTCTATGAGGAAGCAAAATTAAATTTATTAATTCTTCTCAATTGACTTCTGACATTTTAATAATAGTTCCTTTAGTCCTTTATGAATATTCAGATAAATTGTCAGAAGTGCTATGAAATATGTACGGCGTGAAAATCAAGAGAAAAGCGATCGGTCCACTGGGCGCTGCGCCGCACGCCGAAAGACGCTCTCGCACTTTGCACCCGATTTTCTCACGATCGCTTCCACTTTGCCTTCTGACACTTTGCACTTAGTTTATTCTATACGTAAACAATACAAATGCAAATTGTCAGAAGTGCTTCTTAATATGTAAATTTTCCGAGATTTTTCGCAACTTTGGCAGCTTCTGACAACCCTTTAGCTTCTACTTACTCTTTTGACAATTTTTTTCCTGCTTTTTCTCATACTCCTCGATACCTATGCAAATTTTCAGCCGTGCCGATCGACAGTTTTTTTTGTTGAAAAATTTACACGTTTGATCGCCCGCCCACCCACTTAGCTTCCAGTCCGCCTTCTGACGGTCGGGCTTTCGCTTTGCCGGCAGCAATCGAACCTTTTCCAGGTAAGATATTTCATGGACCGAGGCATGTTGCTTTTTCTGTTGCCAGCTCTTAGACTAATACTCGAAATGCATGGCATCCCAGCAAACAAAAAAAGATTGAAAAAAATTAAAACGGGATTGCCAGGAATTCAATTAAGGACTTTCCGAATTCCATTCTGTCCAAAAAAGGGATTGAAATAGTTTCAATATCATGGAATTCCTTATTTTGAAAAGAATTTGTCTTTTCTGAATCCCATCCAATTCCGACACAAAAATATTATACCACTGAATGCCTGGTTAGGGATTGGAAAGTTTCGTGATAAATTCCATTGAATACCATTGATTCCGTTAACGAAATGAATACCATTGAATGCCAAACTAGGAATTAAAAATTTCCGTATTGAATTCCATTGAATTCCGTCTATTCTGACAATAAAATGAATACCATTGAATGCCAGGATAGGGATTGAAAAGTGTCCGTGTTGAACTCTGTGGCGGTACGCGCCACCAATAGTACACGCCCGCGCGATATCTGCATTACCGGCAGTTCGCGTCGACGCCGCTAGGCGTCGCATCGCCGGGGCATCTTCTCGAGTTCAAAGTTTCGTCTCGACCGCTATGTAAAGGGACCCCCTACGGTGCCTGACAGATCTTACAAATCTCATTTTCGGGCTAATTGCCCGTCGGCAGTAGTGCGTGTAATGCCCTTAGGAATACACAAAAGCTCACCGACGAACAACGGCGCTTGGTCGCCCAACGGAGGCGCAAGACGTTTCCTATATACCATCTAATGCCATGCAATTCCATAACCTTTACGGATTCCATAGGATTGGATGGAATTGAAAATTTCTTTTTTGGATTTCATGGGATTGGACCATAGACGTATATAATAGACTGCGCATTCCCATTGGAGATCTGTCGCGGAGATGTAAAGGACGGAAGATATGCTTGCAGTGGCACTTCCTTTTCTAATTGACGTTGGTGGGGAGAAGAAAAGGTTAGGAGAAGTGATCACGTGGTTATTGACGCCTTGAATCTTGCTGCGGGAAAAGTATCATCGTGCAATACAATACTCATAAAAATACATGTAAAAATGGTTTGGTATTCAAGAATCAGACTTTATTTATAGTGATACACAATAACAAACTCGTATATGCTCTTAATAGTTATTGGTTCATAATGTAACTATTTATTATAATTAGTTCAACATATGTAACGTTCTTAGGTAATCTTAAAAATAATGAATAAAATTTAAAAAAGTTAGTTAAAAATAGTTATAAAATAAAACTTTTGTAAAAAATAAAAATTTTCACATAAAGTCACCTGTGTAATGATAGGTTATCTTCTTGTCCTTGTTCTATTTTGCAAATACAGCAATACCAAACCATTTTTACGTATTTTTAATATTTTTATGAGTATTTTATTTGCACAATGTATTGCGATGATACTTTTCCCGCAACAAGATTCAAGGCGTCAATAACCACGTGATCACTTCTCCCCACCTTTCCTTCTCCCCACCAACGTCAATTAGAAAAGGAAGTGCCACTGCAAGCATATCTTCCGTCCTTTACATCTCCGCGACAGATCTCCAATGGGAATGCGCAGTCTATTATATACGTCTATGGATTGGACCATCTCATTTCGAATCCCATCTAATTTCATCTAATTCCGCCAAAAAAGGGATTCAAAGGTATTAAAAAATTTTAATATCTTTTAATCCTTTTGCGTTTGCTGGGATCGTGGCATAGCCAGCGTGTGCTAAGCAGCTACGTCACAGCTCAAGCCAGCTCAAGCGAGAAAGAGACGGCAGATCGTATGTTTGCCCTTCTCTCCCCGCTCGAAGCTTGCCGAGTGCCGGTCAGCCGACTGGCATATCCCCTCCATCTGAGTAGTTCGGACACAAACCATAGCACGGACACGAACCATGTGTGTACCGTTACCGAGCGTAACGACGTAGTTGACGTCCACTTTCTCAGGCGGCGCGTCAGTATACGTCCGCTGGAACGGAATGATCCCGGTGGCCGCTCTCAGGTTTCTCTCTGGTAATAGTAGGTTTTACCTGTGAATTTTCATCTTCATTAATTAGAATATCTGAGTCGCTTAATTCGTCTTTTTTTCGTTCTTTTTGTTATTTTCAGAGTCACTTTCTTTATCTGGTGGATCATTTCTATCTTTTATCTCTTCAATTTCATCTCCCTGATCTTGTGAGTCATTAAGTGATTGCTTTTGTTGAGCATGTTTATCTTTCGTCGTCTGGCTTCGGGTTTGCATTCTATTGTAATTAGGGAGATCGTGAATCATCAATACTCTTTCTACAATTTCTAGCTTTGGTAGCTCACACATTTCTTCTTGCGTGAATAGTATAGAATCTGTATTTCCACCAAGTGGGCTATTATTATGATAATTCTTCTATTTCTCTGTTGTTTGAGAGATATAGATTGAAGTTTTCGTCTTCTTCTTCGTCGGATTCTTCTAGTATTTCGGAAATTATTGCTACGTTTTTCGGATTATTAGGATTCAGAAGTTTTTTGTGATTAATTATATTGCAATCTGCTTCTTCGAAATTTACTGGATTTCTAGATAAGGCATCGGCATTCATATTAATTTTGCCTGCTTTATATACTACATCGTATTCGTATACTGCTAGTTTCAATCTCCAACGGAGGATTCTCATGTTTGCGTCTTGTGTGTTTTTAAACCAAAGCAAAGGCTTATGATCCGTAACTAAAGTGAATTTTTGTCCGTATAAGTATGGTCTAAAATGTTTAACGCAATATAGTGTTGCGCCCGTGCCGAGACACCCGTTGCGCGCTGAACTTCGTCC